CCCGCGGGGATCAAAATGGACTCGCCCACTCGGGCAGCCGCGTAATGGTTCTCCGTGGGTCACGTGGGCGGCGCGTGTCCATATGAGGCCAGTGGGGGCGGCCATTTGGCTTCCTATGGGCGGCAAAGGCAGAGGTCGAGGGATGGGCTCCAGACCGAGGATGCTCGGCCCCGGTGCCCCTCTGGCCCTACGAGTTCGCGCTGTAGGCCTGCGCCCTGAGGTGCCCATCGTGTGGCTGTGGGGGCTGCTGGCTGAGCGTGATGCTGACTACACCCGTCTTCGCCGTGAGATCCAGGCGGCAGTGGGGCCACGCCTGGCAGCCACTCCGAATCCTGCTGGGCTGGTGGCTGGTGGGGCTGAGCTGTGCACTGGAGACCTGGGCCTGGTGGAGGTGCTCGGAGTCTGGCACCGGTGCTACGTGGTGAGTCGCCGTGGTCAGGGTTACCGCGTGTTCCTGCTTGATGAGGGCTGCACGATCATCACATCCGCCTATTACCTGGCACGGGGCTGCAAGGAGCTTTTCCACCTGCCCCCAGAGGTGCTGGGCTGCGTTGTGGCTGATCTTGTGCCTTCTGGAGGCCTCAGGGTGGTGGCCTGTGGGGATGCACCATTTTCCACCTGGACAGTGGAAGCTATGGAGTTCCTCAGCTACCTGCATGGAAAGGAGGTGTCTGGCCGGGTGCGAGAGGTGATGACACCGCAGCTCATAGTGCTTGAGCTGCCCCAGCTTGTGGCCCAGATGCATCACCTGGGCCTGGCCAGGCAGGTTGCTCCCAGTTGGTTCTGTCAGGTGCTCAGGCGCTTCTTAACTCACAGCAAATTAAGAAATCAGCTCAAGCTGCAGCTTCCAGCACGTTCCCTTTTAACTTCTGAAGTGCCACAGCCTCCTCCTGTTTTGCTCTTACATCAGCCTGTGTTGCCTGCCTTAGATTACTTCTACCCACAGCTTCAGTTGGGTGTTAAAGAGCCTGTCTTAGTCACCCATGTCTCTGACCCACATCACATCTACTGCCAGTTGCAGAGCCTGTCTCAAGAGATCCGTTGCCTTTCTGATACCATACGCTATGCTCATGACTGCTGGGAGAAGGATTTATTGCCCAGAGTGGGCTCACCCTGTGCTGCCTGTGGTGTAGATGGCCAGTGGTACCGTGCACTCCTGCTGGAGGTTATTGCTGGGGAGCAGGACCACCAGATGGCTGTGGTGATCTTTGTGGACTATGGCAGGAAGGAGACTGTAACTAGAGCTAACCTGCGCCGTTTGCCTGTTGAGTGTTTTCGCATGCCTGTGGTGACTTACCCGTGTGCTCTTCAGGGTGTCTCAGATGGAGGTTGTGGCTGGTCCCCCTCGCAGATTGATGAACTGAAAACGTTGGTGCTAGGCAAAGGAGTGAATGCTCTCATCAAAGCCTTCAATTCCTTTGAGCATAGCTATTATGTGGTGCTGTATGGGGAAAATGGCATCAACTTGAATCATCTTTTTGGGGTGCAGGCTTGCTGCCTGGTGAGCAGCCATGCACAGGCCAGCCAAGCTGAGGTGCCGGAGCAGCTGGAAGAGCTGCAGTTGCCACCAGGAGTACCTCCTGTTGCTTTAATGAACAGAGACTTGGCCTCTGCTCCTGCAGCTGGTGCACGTCTGATTTTGGGTGTGTTCCATGATGTGCGGGTCTCCCATCTCCGAGACCCGTCCGAGTTCTGGCTGCAGCTCCATGAGCATTGCCAGCTCTTCAGGCAGCTGAGGCAGCGCATGTGGAATTTTTACTCCCATGCCACAAAGCTGGATAGTGCTGAGTGGGACCCACAGCCTGGATCCCTTTGTTGCACCGGTGAGAAGGAGGGTGTCTTCTATCGAGCAGTGATCACCAGGGTGCTGGACAGTGGGGTAGAAATACACCTGGTGGACAGAGGCAATATGGAAACTGTAGATCGGCGTGCAGTGAAGGAGCTGCTCCCTCAGTTCAGGGAACTGCCTGCTTTAGCTCTGAAGTGTTGTTTGGCAGGTGTCTCCCCTCTGAGAGGGAGCTGGAGTGAAGCGTCTGTGTCTGCATTCAGAGAGATTGTACTGGGCAAGGGACTAAATGCTCATTTTTTGAGTGCGCAGGGTGACAAATACATGGTTGAAATTTTTGACCAGTCCCAATTAGGAGAGAAAAATGTAAGTAAACTCTTGGCCCAAGGAGGGTATGCTGAATATCAGAGGTGTGAAATACCCGAGACTCTCCAGAAACCGTCTGGTAAAGCTGTGAGCCAGACTTGTTCCCTGGCACGTGCTGGGAAGGAAAACCAAACAAATGCAGAGAAGAGTCTCGGAGAAGAATCTGATCTGAAGAGAACTAATAAAGCACTTGATCCATGTGCAGCTGTGATAGCCAGACAGCGCCCTGTTGCAGCCATTCACCATACTAAAAGTAGTGAATCTCTTCCTGCTCAGAAGTATGAGGGCAAGGAAAACCTGCCCGTCTGTTGGAGACAGAGTGATGTAGAAACGAAGCCGTGTTTCTCTTATGGAGGCCAGTTAGAAGTGGGAACTACAGTTAATGTAGTTGTGTCATGTATTGAAAATCCTGGTTGTTTTTGGTGCCAGTTAAGTAGAAATTGCCATGACCTTAAGGTATTAATGGCGGAAATTCAGGAGTACTGTAAAAATTCATCCCCGCCACCTGCTTGGCCAAATGCTGTATGTTTAGCCCAGTACTCAGAGGATGAAAAATGGTACAGGGCTTTAATTGTTAGTGAAGCTCCTTCTGCGGGAAAAGTGGAGGTCTTGTTTGTTGACTATGGCAACAGAGAGCTGGTGTCACTAACAAACCTCCGCTCAACTAATGAATGCTTTCTTAGGTTAGAGACTCAGGCTTTCAAGTGCAGCCTGTACAACTTCATCCAACCAAATGGTCAGGATCCTTTTGCTTGGGATGAAGAAGCGATTCAGGCTTTTCAGGAGTTTGTGGATACTTCGGCATCTCACTTTACACTGAAGTGTACGATATTTGCCTTGGCTTCAATAAACCATAAGGAGGTATTTAACATTGTTGATTTAATGACGCCTTTTCAGAGTGCTTGCCAGTTTCTGACCAAGAGGGGTGTGGCCAGACCTTTATCTCCCCAAAAGCCTTTGGTATCCTCCATTCAGCTTCATTCTTACTATTATTCTATGCATGGCATCAAAATTGGGAGCGAGGAAGAGGTTTATATTACACATGTTGATGATCCGTGGACATTTTACTGCCAACTTGAAAGGAGGGCAGATGTCTTAGCGCAGCTTACCGATAACATCAGTCGCTGGAGTGCAACAATGACCAGCTCAGAAACCTTGCCAAAGTCAGGGAGCTTGTGCCTAGCAAAGTATACCGATAATAACTGGTACAGGGGAATGATTAGGAAAACAGAACCTAAGACGGAAATCTTCTTTGTGGATTTTGGGAACACAGAGACCATAGAGAAACATCATCTGCTTCCTTTACCCAATGATGCTTGTGATATATTGCTTTTGCCAATGCAGGCCATAAAGTGTTCCTTATCTGATATAACTGATGTTCCCAAAGAAGCTGCAACGTGGTTTAAGCAAGTTGTCCTAGAAAGGCAATTAAAAGCGGTAGTAGTAGCAAAGGAATCCGATGGTAAGCTGTTGATTGAATTGTTTGATGGTAATACTCAAATTAATGCAAAACTGAAGGAGTTAAGCTTAGTAAACAATACAGGACTGTGTAGGCGTGTAGAAAATGAAACTTTGTGCTCTAGAAATACAGATGTGGATGAGAGGAATGGGACTGTACAGTCCCCTTCAAATGCAGGTAGGCTTCTTGAAATTAAAAACGGCAGCTCTGAAGCCTGTGGAGGAGAGGGGAGTAGCAAAAGGCACTTCAAAGAGGAAGATGTAAACCTTTCCCAGCCTGCTACAAAGGGAGATCTGGCAGCTGGATTTCTAGAATCTGGTGAAATGCTTAGCAGTAAGAAGGATGCTTTTTTGTTAAATCAAGTGGGCGATGAGTCTCTGCACTCTCTCTGGATGGATACGCAGTTAGATATAAAATCTGATGCTGAAGGCGAGTGTGTACCACTTGAAAATGTATCTGGTGTACTGCAACAGAAAATAGTGCCGGGTCTTAAAGTGTCAGTGTATGTGTCTCATGTAAATGATCCATTGGACTTTTATGTTCAGCTGGAAAGTGATGAGGCTCAGCTTAACAGCATTTCGGAGAGCTTAAATAATAAGACACAAGCAAAGAGCCCTTGTGGACAATTCTTCCAAGCAGGAGACTTAATCAGTGCTGTTTATTCAGAAGACAACCTATGGTATCGAGCTGTAGTAAAAGAGAAGACTTCTGACAATTTGATAAGTATACAATATATTGATTATGGTAATACTTCAGTAGTTAATGTTGATCATGCACACAGACTCCCTGGACACTTGTTGTCTATTCCAGCGCTAAGCATTCACTGCTTCCTAGGTGGACTTGCATGCAGAAAAAATACAGACTGGGCAGAGAAAGCGGTGCTTCACTTCACCCAGAGAACAAGTGAAGTTCTGCTCACGTGTGAATTTGTAGAGAAGGCTGAGGATAAATGGGAAGTTATTCTCAGAGACCATCAAGGTGTAATAACAGTGGATTTAGCTGATGAGAATCTTGCAAGTAGAGAAAGATCTTGTTCAACACAAATACTTGATAGAGAAGAGAATGGTGATGTGGTAACTGTGTGCAAGCCATTGCCTCCTCAGGCACAAGCTGAAATTTCCAGTGTAAGCGATTGTAAATCATTTATCTGGAAGTTTCCAGAGGCAGGTCAGACTGTAAAAATTTATGTGAGTGTGGTGGATGGTCCAGAATACTTCTGGAGTTGCGGTGCTGATACAGAAGACGTGAACTACATAAAGAAAAAAATAAAGGAAGCTGAAAACCTTGGACTGAAGTCTTTGAACGACTGCAGATCTTGTATTAAAATTGGTGATATTTGTCTAGCAAAATACAGTAAAGATGGAAATTTCTACAGAGCTAGAGTTAGCAGCATCGAAGGTGACAGCATAGTTGTTAGACACGTGGATTATGGAAGTGAGGAAGCTGTCAGCTTGGAGATGGTCAGCCAGATTCCATGTGAGTTGCTCAGAGTACCCAATCAAGCGTTTGCTTGCTGTCTGTCAGGTTTCAAATCCTCAGAGGGCTCATGGCTTAGTGAAGCAAAGTCTAAGTTTTATGATGTGACTGAAAACCTCTTACTAGAAGCTGAAGTAATAGAAACTCGAGAAGATAAAGCTTCTGAAGTCCCTCTGTGTGTTGTCAAGCTGGAAGCTTCTGGCAAGAGCATAAATGAGGAGATGAAGCCTTTTTGGAAGGCTAATAAACAAACCAGTGACAATGCTTCCTCAAAACTTGAGAACCCCTTAGAGGAAGACAGATGTTCAAACAATGATACGGGTCATTGTCTCAAAAAAGAAACGACTGCTGCCTGTGGATTAGCCCAAGAAGAAAGTGCAAGTGCCTTATTTTGTTCTGACCCTTTCCTGGGTGTCACTTTTGAGCCTTCAAATACTGTAGAAGCAAATGCTGGAGCTGTGGAGTATGTGTCTGGGAAAGCTCATCATGGATGTGAAACAGCTGAGCATCAACGCAGCTTTGATACAGAGATACCTCTGTCTGAGAGAGAGTGCTATAATGACGTATTACTAGAACCAACAAGACACTGCAGTCTTTGTATTTTTGAGAGTGAAATGAAAGCTGCAAATCAAGAATTACCTGAAGGACTGTTTCAAGAGGATGCTGAGCTGAAAGCAGATCTAACAGGCAATGCTTCAGCAGCCAGCCCTTTCCTAGGAAGCAAACAAGAACTGCAAGAACTGCCAATGCTGCAGGTACAGTCACCTTTGAGTGATGAAAAGGGGACGTCAGTAGAGCTGGATCAATTACAAACGCAGTCCTCATATGTAGATCTAAAAGAGATCATGCTGGAGCTAGAAGCACTTTCGGTGCAGTCATTCTTTCATGAGGAAATAAAGGAAGTTCTGGAAACAGAGACACATGAAATGCAGACAGCTTCGGGCATTGGAGCAAGAGAGAAAGTGTTGGAACAGAAATCATTTGAGCTGCCAGTTGTGAGTGAGGAGGTGGGGGAGTTGGCAGCTCTGGAATTCCTTGAAATGTTATCATCACTTAATGAGAGAGAGCACTTAGCGCCTTCAGTTGGCGATGCAGAGAAGACAGTAGAGCTGGTTCTGTCTGATGTTCAGCTTTCTCTGGGAGAGAAGGCAGAGAAACTGGAATTGAATTTGTCTGGAGTTCCTAAAGCAGAAGCTATGCAAGACAACTGGATGGAAGTAGAGCCTCCTCCCCAAAGGCTGTCTTCATCTGGTGGTAGACCTGAGAAACAACTGGACTTGAAGACCCACGACATGCTATCGCTGCTAGGTGCTGAAATCGAGCAGCTTCTGGAGCTGGTGCTGCCCAGCATGCAGCCATCGCAGGAGGACGAGGACTTTTTGGAGTTGGAACACGCTACACTGCAAAGTTCTGCAAATGGTGGAAGTCAGTTTTCATTTCTTACAAAAGACTTAACTAATCAGAGGCCTGTGTGCACTGCAAAATCATGTGACTGGAAAGTGGAGAAATGTAAGGAGTGGCAGAAGAAGAAAGATGAGTGGATGCAACAAGACTTGACTGACTCCTTTAAAGAACATGGAAATATGTATGGGCAGTCTTCAGACTGTAAGCCTGGGGATGAAGAACTGGAAGAAAAGCAAAATGAGAACTTGACTGACTGCAGTGCAGGTAAAGTATCTGATTTTAAGGAGCTAAATATTCAAAATGTTGTGCACATTCAGACATGAGAATAGCTTTCTTGTAGAAACCTATTTTTTTATTCCCTAGCAAGTTACTGTATCAGCATTAATGTCAGTATGCTTCCATGGGTTAAGGACACTAGACTAAGTGTAGTATCTCATAACGTGACAGTATAACAGCAACTACTGTTACTTTGAGAAGCTAATGATTTTATGATTGGAAATTATTTTTGAGCATGAAATGCGTTTTCAGGACTGGTCAGGATGACAAAATTTCAAATATTTATTAAGTAAAAGTAGTTTGGAGGGGCAGGGGAGTACGAGAGCAGGGTTGTGAGGCATTTGAGGTTTTTTGAGAGGAGGTTTTCGTTGTGTGTGTTTTTTCTTCCTCCTTTATTGATATCTCATCACTTTTGCAGAACACAGTGAGTACACGTGTAATCTGAAGGGCTTTGCTGTTGGTTCCAAGTGTGTGGTGTGGTCCTCTCTGAAATGGTGTGAGGCTCGCATTTTGGAGGTAACCGAGAAAGGTACCAGGGTAAGTATGGTTTGAATACTCTTTCTGCGTTCTTAATATCCGGTCCTTGTTTGGGCTTCTTCCAAATTTTGAATATTTTACAGAATGCTATTACAGAATTTAAGTCTTAGTGTTGCAGAGGCCGATTTTGGACTTGTAGACTACAAAGCAGCAGCAACGACTCAAACCAAGTGGGTGCTAAATGTCAACACTTCATATTCCCTTGACGTCTTGTTCCCCTGTATTGTCTGAAGACTGAAGGATCTGGCTCCAGTTTGAGATACATACTCGTGTGTGTGGTTCTAGCTGGCCTGCAGGTTAATGTTCTGCTGTGGGGCTGTGTTACCGTTAAACCATCATGAAACTTGGCATTATTTTACTGATGTTTTGAGGAAACAGCAAACACTTGGGAAGAAACTTAAATTGCACTGTAATTAATAATGAATACACAACTATTGCTACTTCAGTGAAATATCTATTGAATTACTGGTTGGTGGGACTTAAGTTTAACAGTATACTCTAATGGGCTGCATTGTTCTACTGCTCTTTAAGCTATGGGATAAATGAGAAGCCTTCCTCCAGTTCAGGAGAAGCGTGTCTGTATGTACACATATGCACAGACATTATACTTACATTAAAGGGCCTTTAAATTGTAATTTAAGGTTGCAAATCCAAAAAATAAATTCATAAAAGTAACTTTTTGGAAGACTGAATGCCTGAGATCATGGAAGCTGCTCTTTTGCAAGTAGATTCCTTAGGTAACTAAAGCGAACCTCAGCTGTATTCAGATGGGTGTCAGTGCCAGGTACATAGTGATGTCCCTGTTCGTTACTTTCTTCCTGGTTCTGATCTAGTAGGTGTTTTCCAGCCTTCCTCTCTCTCCATATTTGGATTAAAGCCCAGGAGAGCCTTGAGCAGATTCAGTAGTGATATTCAGCTTTAGTAGAGGTTAATTTGCACTTCCTTGCAAGATCCAGACTGAAAGCCGCCTCAAAGGCAAGGAGTCCTCAATTCTGCTTTCCTACTACTATGTCTTATTTGCTGAGCGTATTCTCGGTATCCACTGCAGCGCTAGATATGATCTGGCTTTGTTTGTACAGGTCTTGAATCTCACCAGTGGCAGTGAGGAGACTGTGGATCCTGAGAATGTCTGGAAAAAAAACTTGCAAATCGTCTGAGGTAAGGCAGTGTGGTAGTGGGCTGGGGAAGATGCTACTCATTCTCGGAAAGGGCTGTTGTGATTCTTCCTGTGTTACAATGAGAATAGAAAGGCAAAGTAGCATTCATTTAAATCTGTGCATTCATGGCAACCGCTATTTTTTAAATACCATTTTTCTTTAAGATATCATATACTGTGTTCAGTTCTGGGCCCCTCACTATAAGAAGGATGTTGAGATTCTAGAGCGTGTTCAGAGAAGAGCCACAAGGATGGTGAGGGGTCTGGAGAACAAGCCTTATGAGGAGCAGCTGAGGGAACTGGGGTTGTTTAGCCTGGAGAAGAGAAGGCTGAGGGGAGACCTCATCACCACCTACAACTGCCTCAAGGGAGGTTGTAGAGAGGTGGGTGCTGGTCTCTTCTCCCAGGTGATGGGGGATAGAACAAGGAGAAACAGCACCAAGCTGTGCCAAGGGAGGTTCAGGTTAGAGATAAGGATGAAGTTCTTTACTGAGAGGGTCGTCAGAAGCTGGAACAGGCTGCCCAGGGAGGGGGTGGAGTCACCATCCCTGAATGTATTTAAAAAGCAGGTAGACGAGGTACTTAAGGATATGGTTTAGGGAGTAGGCAGGAATGGTTGGACATGATGATCTCAGAGGTCTTTTCCAACCGAGCAATTCTGTGATTCTGTGATACTGTCCTTCCTGCTCTATGGAGACTATGGAAATTTGTATAAATCTATTATATAACTGGTATAGATCTATATAAATAAACTGTCAGCCGTTTGGCCTGAGGACTGTGAATTCAGTCTGGCAATAGATTAAACAGCTGCTGATCAAGAACTGCACAGCAATGCTGATATGTGGCTTTTGACAGATCATGCTAGTAGAGCATGTAACGAACTGGTAAATCATGAAAAATACTTCCATTATGAAGTAATTGGGAATGGTAGTAAGGTTTTTACCAGCACTCTTCATGAAGTACCAACAAATGAAAAACTTTTGTCTGGAACCCAAAATTCAGGTCATCAGCCATGCCACTGACAATAACAGAATGAATTTCCAGTTCATTCTTCACAGGCAGTTCTTGCATCAAAGTGAAGAGTGTGCAGAAGACTTCTGTAGTGATTTATGAGGGCAGGGGGAAGCAGTGGTAAATAAGAGTCCAGCAGTGCTCAAGTAAAAAAATTAGTATAGTATTAAAGTATTGACCTCAATGGGAAACCATCTTGGCAATGCTGGCAGCTTCCTAACAGAATCCCCTTTTGTTTAGGCAATAACCCCTACAACAGAAAACCTGCAGTCCTTACAAGAGGAGTCCTTACTTCAAGGTAAAACTACCTTAAACTTACCAAAGGGGTTGTGTACTCAGTATTTGGATACCTTCTTATTTTCTAGAAAATGCTTCACTTTAGAAAATACAGTTAACTTTTTTTGAGGTTATGTATTTACTCTAATACAATTGTAATTTTCTTTGTAGCATTAGCTTCTATACTGCCAGTTTAATGATGAATACATGCAATGAAAGCTGCTACTCTGTCTTGATTAGAAATCAATTTCGTATTTATTTATTCAGCATAGTGGTTTCAGCCTCTTGGACAAGCTGGTGTGGTACACCTAAGCTGCAGATTTTTGGTTGGGTTTTGAGCTTTGGCCACCAGTATGCTACTCTTGCTCACATTTCTGAGGCAAGGTGAGTGACTGCTAAGCAGACTCTACCAAGCATGGTCATTTGGGATTTGCATACGAAAATCCCTTTATAGATCTTGGTGTATGAATCTAAACCCACGATAATACCGTTTTAGTTGTTGTAAGGATAGGTTGTGAATAGCACAAGTTCATCTTTATTGTTACTTAAAAATTTTTGAATTTATTCTTGTCCAAATTGGCCCACTGTCTGTGTTCTTGAATACTTTGCCCAGTATTAGTTTATGTACCCTTTCAGAAACAGTGCAGAAAATGTGAGCTAAGGTCATACATGTGGTACACAACTGGATCTTGCTGCACGCATGGGCCGCTGTCTGGAAATGCAGTTTGAGTAGAAGGTACCCAATTCATTAAAAAAAACTTCCTGCAGTGGGTTGTGCTGATCCCACTGAGGGATGGAGTGGCTTGAACTGGTAACTGAAATCTGAGAGCACCGTGTGCTTCACCTTCTTGTGCAGTTCTGTTGTTCCAGCTGTTTTATCCTCGTATGATAACTTTGCATAAGTGTAGTCTTTTAATATGGTCCCACATGCTGATGACACTTAGTCTGAAGCCTTGAAGAGCTGTGACTTCAGATATGAATGCATTCGTATGTGTTTATAGAAACATCTTGATGTGTCTGATCTGTTCTTGTTCCCTGCAGAAAAGCAAACTGACTGCAGTTCAGATTTAGCTGAAGATCCTCACGTCCTCCAACATCCCTGAAACCAAACGACACGTTCACCACACGAAGCTGGAAAAGTACCTGTGCGCACAAGCATTCCCGTGGAAACGTGCTTCATGGGAACAACCAGTGTTTCTTCTACCTAACGGAGCGACTGCCTGGCACTCCCGTACATCCCCGTTAACGAAGAGAGCCTGGGGGTAGACTGTTACTGTCAGTGTGGCTTCTTAGAGCTGCATTTTTTTTCACTTAAGAATTTGCCTCTTGACTGGCATTCCTTAATTTGTGTGTGCACTAACTTGTGTCTAGCTGTTGGTGGGTGGTTCTTGAACAAAGGTTTCTTGAGTTGCTCTGTAGGCTACTGTGTTGCACAATACTGCTTTCTGATGTTTGCTTTTTGAAAAGTTGCATTGTTAAGTGTTTAGTTCTTTTTTTCCCCTCAAAGAATAGTTGAGAGTATCTTTTTTTGGGGGGGGGGGGGGGAAGGGGTTTGTTTTTTTTTTTCTTTGTAGGGGAACACAATGGGTTGAAGTTTTGCATTTGGTGTGGTTGTAAAGCAATGGAAGAAGCTGGAATAAAGCTTTGGCTGGCATGTACTGATCAGTGTTTTATGACTTGCGTTTTTTCCCTATGCAGCAGCCCAAATGCTGTGTGCATGCTGAGTATTTTTCCTCAGCTGCAGCAGTGCAGTTCCTTGTAGCTATGCACATTCTGCAGTTACTGGTTCTGTTTTGGCCCTGAACAGCTCTCTAGATCACTGTGAGCTATGGTGAATGCTTTGAAACATCAGTCATGTACCAAACAGAACTTGTATTTATGACGTGGCCTTAATTGCACTCATGAAAGATAAAGCTTTTCCTGTAATTGAAGCAGACCTAGTGGAATGGTTTTGCTGCTGAATGTGTGCAGTGGGGTAAGGACTTCTCCTTACTGCAGCTTATCTCACCTTTTATTTGTCACCTCGAGTTGAAAAGGGGCTTCCATTTTCCAGTCTCTTGTATAGCATAGGTTCTTCCCCCTTTTCAGAGGGTATGGATTTCTTGCACTGCTGTAATTACTCAGGAACCCAAGATCTCTGGCAGTGTAATGTCTGGCTGAGTTATTACCATGGATCTCAAGCGTTGGTGCTTGTGCAGCAAGAGAAATGCTTGCATGTTCGTTCCCTTAATAGAGACAACACATGGTGGTAGAGTGGAGAAAATTTAATTAAATCCTGGAAAAAACAAGTCTTAGATGGTGTTGCAATCTCATGTTAAGATCACAGATTATATAAATATTTAATTACACTGTTAACTACTTTGCTTGTTCTGCTTGTTTTGTTTGTAACCTGATTCTGAAACAGGCTACAGTTAGAAGTAGTCCCCCTTTTGCAAGGTTTATTCATTTAGAAGTCACTTTTCCATGTGGCAGATTAAAAGAGGTTTTGTTCTAAAAATGAGAGCCTTCTTTAGCCAACCACGTAGTTAACTGCTTCTACTGACAGATACAGCAGCAGTGCTAGCACCTGGACAAAGACAAGTCTCTGGAGAGAATTACAGCCATGAGAGATATCAAGATCATCAAGCAATGATTATTAACCCCTTTTTAAAGGGAGTGGCAGAAGTGACACATCTCTTCTGTAACTTCGCCTACAACAGCATAAGGGAGTGATAGAAGTGAAACTTATCTTGTGTGATTTCACCTACTGATGGTACCAGTGAGTAATAGTGGTAATACAGAGATTAATAGGAGAGGCACTGCTTGGAGCTTTGCCTCAGGGGAATTACAGTTGCTACAACAACAGTGACCATTTCAGCAGCTTTTGGAATGGAAACATCCTCTGCATGTGGCAGTAAGCACAGATCCTAAATGTAAGTGTATTAAATTAATATGAGAAGTCCTGTGTCAGAACAAACACCTTTCTCTGCTGACACTTTAAGCGATTTCTGTAGCTTTTACTGTGACTTAGTAAGTTGAAGACCTTCCTCCACTGGCACCTCTCTGGCTAGAAGGAGCAAAAGCCTGCTCTAAGTCTCAACTGTTGTCAGAGCACAGCTGAAATACAAAGTAGTTGAATAACAGAACTTCTTTCTAACACTGCAAAAAGGCTTGCTGGATGCAAACTGACTTAAAGCTGGGTGAGCAGAACTTTAGTTGAATTCCTTGGAGCTTAATCTCTCTCTGCAAACCAGATTCTAAATCAAAACCATATTACTGCCAGGTGGATTTTGCCCCAGCTGCCTGTAAAGCAGAAACTACCCTGTTGCAGTATTTCAGAGAATTCCACTAACTCATCTGATCTAAAACCTCTATATTTTCATAATAGTGTAACCTAATGCCTTATCTTTTTTGTGTGTGTTCCACACCCCAAAAGCTGTGTAGGTGGCCAGTGTATCACATGTCTGAGCAATATCTGGCCAACATTAGTGTCCTGGTGTCTGTGATGACATTTTCAGTACTTCTTTGCATTCCTTATTCAGGTTCAGCTGGAGATAAGTCAATATTGGTACCAGGAATAACATTGGGTCCTATGCCATCCACAAGAGAATCCCACTTATCGAAATCTTTCTTAAGACCTATAAAACAGGGGAAAGAAAACCCAAGTAGTAATGAGTGAAGTAGTCAGCTTTTCATAAAGCTACACTGAAAAATTAAATTATAAGACAGATGAGTCAACTTGGCAAAGTAGGGGAGGTATGATGTTTGAAGGAGAAAAATGATACTCCAGGTTATTATCTATCAGAACAAAACTGCACTCTTCCTCCTCTGATTTGCTGATACTACAAAGTAACTAACAAACCTCTAGAAAAAGAGTCTGACTGTTGTTTTTTCTACTTAAACTTTTCTGAAACACTTAGTTTTGATCTTGGTCCAAACAGAATGTTACCATAAATAGCTCCACATGAATTAAGTCTTAATTTAACTTCATACTTTGATGTAAACAGATACTTACTCAAATGCTTCTGCATGAAGGCTAATGAAGCATGGTTGCTTATATCAATAGCTTCATTTGGATCTATTTCTCCTTTTAATTTGAAAAATCTTCCGATGATTTCTCCGCTCACAAAGGTAAAGTCAGGAAAGCTCTGATGTACTGTCCCCCTGCAAATAGAGCAACGAACAGCAGGCTCATAAGAATGCAGTTGTCTGATTAGAAGATGCCATCAGCTGCAGAGACTTCTTCAAAGACAGTTGTGCATCTTATGCTGTTGCCTTTAGCAGAAGATAAAACAGGTTAATCTCATGAGCATGCAAGATTAGCAGTAAATTCACTCCTGACCACAGAAGGGAGGGAGGTTTGTACATGCTTACTGCAAGTCACTGTAGTTGCAATAGCAGTAAAGAGTGGACTTGGCAAAACTTTCAAGATTGAGTTGTATCTCTGCTCTGAGGTGCATTATAGAGCCATTCCTCCCCTGTAGGCAGTGCTTTCACGAGGTGAGTGCATAACTGCACCCAGAAGGCTATTTCAAGTGTTCAAACATGGCTGATGCATGAGGCCCAGAGCAAAACTTGTGCCCCAGGGAAGGAATGCACACCTTGGAGTATCTTAAACTTGGGGTTGCTTTGAGGTCTGTCTCCACTGTGGGGGACACACTGCTGTCTCATTTAGACATCCAGTGAAAACCTGGGCCATAAGGAAATAGTGACCATTTGTCTTTCTGCAGTTACATGTAACTGAACAGCTCCAAGAGGAGAGTAAAGATTAATCTTCAACCACAGAAATTATGGATCCTGGACACTTACTTGATAGTGATCATTTTCTTGTTTGTGTCATTGGAGCTGAGCTTCTTCATCTTTAAGACATTATCAGCCCACTGGAATTTTTCGGAGTTGATAAAAAGCAGCGGCTGCTGGACGCTGTTTTGGTAAACGTCATCACCTACTGGAAGCATCCATGCATCGAGGGCAATGCCACACCTGTCAAAAACAACTGGATATTGTCACCGAGGCAGAAAGCTTTGCATGGAAGTTCTCAGCATGCTTTGATTTGCAGGTGACATGGGAAAGAGAAATTCTCTACGATTGAGCAGGTAAACAGGTTAATGAACCATTTTGTTTCCAAGTGATTTCTACGCTGGGGGAACAGAATTCATTCATTCTTGCATCTGTCAGTCTCCACTCCCAGGTGCAGCCGGGCACAGGAGCTTCTGCAGGGTCCCACAGTATCATGATATAATATGATACAGCTATTATGTTTTACCACATCCCCACAGTTGAAAGAAGCATAACTTGAGACAATGGGACATGCCAAAGAAAACTTTTCTTCAAGAGCAAATTAGTACTTGGGGGATCTTAGGTAAGGCCCCCTGCTCCACACCTCTCAAGTGCCGAATGTCTCTTGCCTTGTTTTGCATACTTACCTGAATCTTATTTCTTTGCTGAGACTCTCAATAACTGTAGCACCACCAAAAGAGTGTCCCATCACAGCTATTCTGCTAGTATCAACAGAATCCTGTCAAGAAAATCCAGGTGCTGTAAGAGACTTTCCCAAACTTTTTCTTTACTTAAAGGGAATACTTTTTAAAGCCATAGATCCTACTGAAGTAAGAAGAGCATCATTTCAGCTCCATTACTATCTATCCAGCTTGGGATGACCTGAGAATATGTTCATAGATTTACAGTGATCTTCAGAGTAGTTTATGGGAACCAGTTTAGAAATGGAAGAGGAAACCAGAAGCATTATTAAGAGTTTAACAAAATGCAGTCACTGCCTTTCACTCACCTTTAGGCTATTCCAGTCAAAGTTTGAATTTAGTACATTCATTACTTCCTCTCCTGAATTGATTTTAAGAATAAGGTTCAGAGCTCTGACACACTCCTGCGCTCTCTGCTGCACCTGGGGAGAAAGAGAAGTTGGGGCACAGCAGTGGAAAGTGTTATCAGACCAGGGCTAGACTTGACAGCCCTTTGGACACAAGACTTAGTCTGATCTTTTTTTTTCCCCCTGTGTCTCTGATATGGTAACAACTATTCTGAACTGCAGAACGGAGCTGTAAAGCTGAACTCTAACCAACAACAAAACTGACTTTTGGAACTCCAAAGAGGTGAAGGTCTTGCATAGATCCTCTGCAGAGGGAGGAATTTATCTCTCTAACATTTGCCAAAGACCTTAAAATCCTTCGTCCCATCACTACTTGAAGAAGTGGTTACTGAGATGTGCAAAGGCTGACTCCAGCTCGTCCTCATGCTCCCTTTCATGAGCAAATGTCATTACTCACTTACCCCATCTGCACAACAGCTTTGAATCTGTCTTTACACTGGATACAGCCAAAGTACGAAACAGCCAAGAAGCCCTTCCCACTTTATCTGCTTCCACATTCTCGGAAACTTTAGTAAAGCTGTTGCAAATAAAGGTTTCCAGTGTTCAGTGTAAGAACTGCTTTTTATTTTGATGTTTTAGTAAAAGAAAAGCTTCAGAAAAGAACCAAAGAACAGCAGTGTCCTTGGGGGCTGCGTTGTGTAGGCAGCCACCAATCTGTCTGCGCATCACTGATTTTCAAATGAATCGCAATCTCCTGACTTCTCTACTAGTGAAATTTGCAGGCAACAGCTTCTGGAGGTTATTTGGAAGCTCAGACATTATTATTTAGACTCCTAAGTAGGATGCTGTATGCACAGAGGAAATGACACTTGTACTGCTGTCTGTATGGCACAGAAAAACACCTCCCTGGCTCAGCTTGCATTAGATGGAAGAAAACACTCCCATATTTTAAAGGTCAAGTCTATGGCCATATCACATCTAGCACAGATAATACTTAAAATCAGGAAGTCTGCATTGCTCACATTGCTATAAACCACATGAAAGTGTGTTAAAGAGGACAAAGCAAATACTGCCCTTAGAGCAGCCGTGATTCATCTTGCTATCCATCAGTAAACAAAAGCTGAGGCAAACCTAAGGCCACACAAACATCTGAATTCAACTCTCTGTCACTCACAGACTAGGCTGGGCAGCAAAAAAAAGAAGCAGAGAAGAAACAGAAAGTTGAATGGAACTGGAGGAGAAACAGCTGACTGAGCTTGACAGTGCAACTGCATGAGAAAGCTTTGTTGAGGAAGTAGTTCATGCTCTGAAGCGAGCAGTTGTTGGCCTTCCTGTCTTCAGGAACACGGAGGGGAAATGATGCATGTTTATATATCCCCTGAGTTATGGCAGAAGACTGCAGACATGGCCAAAGGGAATAAGCCTGCTAGTCCTAAACACACTGCTCCTGCCTCGCTTCACGGAACACAAACGTAGGATGAGTACCTGCTTATGGCGCAGACAGCGCTCTTCCTCCCCAGTTTTCAGTTTCCTGTAGTAGATCCACTCCTTCTCCGTGTTTGATGTGGACTCTTCCTGTGGTTCAGAAACCGACTTTTTTTTACAATAATAAGTTGCTGAAGCAGATTCATCTCTGTAATATCAACAAAGGTTATTTCTGGGGATGTGTTCCATTTGGTTTGGGGTTTTATACTTCACTTATCTCAAGAGATCTGAGCTACCACCCAGGGCTGCTGCAATCACAACTGAGTGTAGACAGACTTCCTAAATAATACAATAACCCCACCAAAACTCCACCTCCTTTGTATTTGCCAAGTTGTAACAATAAGAGAGAGAGAAAATAGCATGCCTGAAGAGCGACAAACAATATCTACCCTGAGACTTCTCATTCAAGAGCTTACCTAAGCAAATTCTGTTTGATTAGATAAGAGTTGAGCTAGAGAAATGGCGAGTGTGGGCAGGGCTGAAGAAGATATGTTAGTTTTTCTTTAAAAAAAATAATCTTAAGTTCTTCCTCACAGTAAATAACATTATACTCAATGTGAGAAAGTTTCTTTCCATCAGAACTTGAAAACGTGCAGTATACACACCTGTGCTCCACAGCAGCCACTATAAAGCCCTGGGAAGCCATCTCTATGCAAATAGCAGAGTAGATCGTCCTGCAATCAAAACCACATCCTGGTGAGACACGTGCATGCATAATTATTTCAATTACACTGCTCTTTAGACGTTGACCCCACTACCTATGCACTTGCTCCCATTCAGTATTTCTTCTGTTTGAATTTGCTAGCCAGTAGAGCAGGCTTTTGTAAGCCAGGCACCAAAGCCTGTTCACAAAACCTCACTACTATTTTACTATCTATTCAGAAGGGAAAATGCTAAAAAGTACTAAAAAAATAGCACTTATAACACTTTGCATCTTTAAAGAACTGTCCAAAAATCAACTTGCTAATCTTCACAACATGCTTATGGATGGGTAAGTGCCTTCCCCCCCCTAAAATACAAAGGAAAACACAAATACATCAATCCTGCTTTTATTTACTGCTGTGGATTGCAGTGGAGACATAATGATACATGGCAGTCTGTTCTTCAAATCTGCTTCAACTCCACGGGGATCTCACCCCCTACTGAAAATCTGTTCACAACCGTCCTCGGAGACTGCTGTCCCCACGGATGACAAAAATAGTTTGTTAACAAACTGCAGAATTACCGAAAAGCTCCAAGTCCGTGGGAAAAAACAAGGAGTGGGTATTTTTCTCCAGGCTTAAAAGCAGCATTTGACTTTGCAGGACAGGTCACTGAACCTGGAGAAAAATCAAAGCATATGTCATTATTGCTGAAATGAGAGAAAGTGTTTGTTCCTGTGGGAGAGACCCCAAGAGTCTGCTGACCACTGATTTCAGAGCGATCATCTGAAGATAAAGTACCAAATCTCATCCTTATAATACAGGAGACAAATAAGGATCCGATTCTGAAAATAATTTCTGCTTGGTAGAAGATACTTTCTGTCTCCTCCTCTCATCCACAGCCTAGCACAAGGCTTCCATATCTTTAAAACCCTACGAGAACAGATTTCCAAGAACAGTCAGGCTCCAAATCTTGTTGATATTCAGAGCTTAGCATCTGTTTGACCTTTGCATATTTGCACATTTCCCTGTGGGATTTATATCCCAACACACAGGTGCAGCTTACCGAAACTCTTCCTAGAGCAAATTGCCCAGACGCTCCTATGCATAGCAATGAGGGACTGCCTGTGAACTGGGTCACATTCAGCATGGAGCATCGCTACAAAAACCCAACCCAAAAAAACAGAATTCTTTGGGAAAAGAACATTTTTTAGTCCTGCAGCCATATATGAGCTGCATACAGAGCCCACACCCCGGCAGCAGTCAAGGAATAAAACCAGACCCAGTCTTACCAACGTAGTACTGGAAGAGCCTTTCTCCTACAACTCGGTACATATTAAGGAAGTCGGAGAGCCCCTGATAGTACTCTTTATCTGGAATCCACGGTGCCTCGTCGTTATCTGTGGCATCGCACGATGGATAATACAGGCGCAAGAAGCTTCCCTGGGATTAGGAGAAAAAAACAGCAAGACTGATATTTATTTATATATGAAAAAGGAAAATAATTTATGTCAAGGGCTTCAGATGCAAGAACGACAGCTCTAGAGAATTAAGAGAATCTCCCAAGGAAATTATTATCCTGCACAGGCTTTGATGCCAATCCTATGCCACTATCTTTTTTCTCTGCAATGAATTTAAAGTAGCATGACTGTTGGCATCCACATAGAGATACACAACACCTTCTCTAGGTTACTCTACAGCTAATTCAAAATGCTCCGTTTAATTAAGTTAATCATTCCAAATACTCGTGTACTGGTTTGAGCTAAACAGAACTAATTTTCTATTTAGTGATCTTACTTTTCAGCTCAGTCTCTTTTAAGTTACCGAACATGCTGAAACTAAAGGCATTGTTTTCCCAGAGAGTGCTGCTAGAAGACATGATCAAAGTCAGTTGTCTCACCATGGGTGCCGT